CTGGCGGCATCCGGGCGGGTTCTGGGGAGCAGCACTGGAGGCCCTCCAGGGTGTCCAGGACAGCCAGCCCCTCCAACCCCTGGAATCACGCCACCAGGTCTCATACCGGAGACAAGCGTCTGGGGGCCCCTGTGTCCAAACGCACTCGTTGTTACAGACCTCCGAAGACTCGATTCACTCGAGCCGCCAGCCCTTGGATCAGGCCTTGCTTGATAAGGGCAATGGGATCTTTTTCTTATTCATTGTTTTGCCGATCGGCTCGGGCCCTCGCACCCCTCCCTCCCCCATGGAGTAGATCTTGGCTGCTTTTGGCGCCTGCTTGAATAAGGTGGAGGCTCCCACATAGGACACACTGTTTCAAACACACGCATTAAGCAGAGGTCTGGAGCCAGACCCCCCCCTTCCGCCCAATGTCGAAACGCCGAATAAGAGAACGTTCACAGTTCGAAAAGGAAGGGGGGTGAAGAAAGGTGCACCTCTCGTGCACCCTCGAGGCTCCAGGGGGCCTCTTTGGGGCCCCTCTCCTGCCATCCTCGAACCCCCCTGGTCGCCCCCCTCCATTGCGAAGCGCCCGCCTGGACCTCTCGACCTCCTCCTCCATCTCCTCTTCCTCCTCCTCCTCGCCTCCCACCTCCACCTCCTCCTCGTCGTCCTCCTCGTCGTCCTCCTCCTCCTCCTCCTCCTCCTCCTCCTCCCTCTCCTCCTCCTCCTCCCCCTCCGTCCTGAGCCTTTTTCTGGACCATCCCGGGAGCCAGAACAGCGCCCCCCTGGGCGCCGAAAAAAACGGTCAGCAGGGCTTTTCTGCGGCAGCAGGCCTGATACCTGCTGGCGCTACGCCCGCTCTCCTTCCTCCCTGGCTCACTTCCTCCTCCTCCTCCTCATCCTCCCCTCCTCCCCCTCCTCCTCCTCCTCCCCCTCGTCCCCCTCGTCCCCCTCCTCCCTCCTCCTCCTCCTCCTCCTCCTCCTCCTCCATCCTCATCATCATCATCATCATCATCATCATCATCATCATCATCATCATCATCATCATCATCATCATCGCCATCACCATCACCATCATCATAATCATAATCATAATCAGCATCAATCTCAGCACCATCATCATCACCACCATCATCACCATCATCATCACCAACACCATCACCATCATCATCAGCATCATCAGCATCATCAGCATCATCATCATCATCAGCATAATCATCATCATCAGCATCACCAACATCGTCACCACCACCATCATTATCATCATCATCATTATCATCATCATCAGCATCATCATCGTGATCATCATCATCATCATCATCATCATCACCATCATCGTCAGCAGCATCATCATCATCGTCCCCTCCGTCCCCTTCCCTCCCCTTCCCCTCCCCTCCCCATTCTCCTCGCCTTCCCCCTCCTCCTCCTCCTCCTCCTTCTTCGCCCCTTCTCGTCTGCAGGCGATGCTCCCCAAACGCACGTCATACCACACCATATCCTCCCCTACGCAAATTATCAATGCTAGCCAGCGTGGGCCCAAACCAGTGCTTTTTAGGAGTATTTGGTGTGCAATCTAGGTGGGGTAATATAAGGCGTGCGGTCTATATTTTGCAAAATATGTTACACCAAGGGTTATGCATCCTACATGTGCGTATATATATATATATATATACATACCAGGCTTTTGTATATACATATGTATGTTGTGCAACCTTTCCGGGGCAATCCATGTGGTGCAATCGATGTTGTGCACTCTCGCTTGTGCAATCTATGCTGCGCAATCTATGTGGTGCACTATCTGTGGTGTAACGTATGTGGTGCGCAGTCTATGTGGTGCAATCGGCGTGGTCGGCGTGGTGCAAGCTAAGTGGTGCAATCCACGTTGCGCACTCTGTGTTGTGCAGCTTATGCGGTGCACTGTTTGTATACATGTACGCACATGCATGCATACGTGCATACACACATACATACATACATACACACACATACATACATACATACAGGCATACATACATACATACATACATACATACAAACATACAAACACACAAACATACATACATCCATACATCCATACATCCATACATCCATACATCCATCCATACATACATACATACATCCATACATATATATACACACATGCTGTGCTCCATGTGGTGCGCAATCTATGTGGTGCGCAATCCATGTGGTGCAATCGACGTAGTGCAATCCGTGTGGTGCACTGTGTGCTGCGCAAGATATGTCAATGCGGTGCAACCAACCTATGTGGCGCAATTGGTCTTCATTCGCGAGGTGACACATTCCATGCTCTTGCAAACATCCCACCCGCCCACCTGCAATTTGGTTTGCAAGGCCCGTGCGGCGGCGATTGCGATGAATGGTTGGCGTTGACTGGTGCATCTTTTGGGCCACGCTAGCCCGCACATGCTCGCGCGCACAGCGGCCAGCCAGTTTGGCGCGACTAGCGCGGCCGCGGTGGCGCTGACCGTTGGGCACTTCCCAGCGGGCACTTCAGTGCGAGTCGGTGACCGGGGCGGGCGCGGTATCATGGCGACGCCGACATCGGTAGACACGGTCATGAAATTAGCGATGGTGACGAAGGTGGCGGTGACGATGGCAAGGCCAATGGCGGCGCCGATGTTGATCACGCCCGCCGATAACGATGGCGATGTCCTCGCGTCGGCGATGGAAAAGGCTTCTGAAGGAGTTCGACATGCGCGCGGGGCCGACGCGCGCGATTGGCCCAGGTGGTAATAATTGACACGGGTCGTGCCCCCCCCAGCGCACGCGCAAAGGGACTTCGAATGAGTTCGATATGCGGCGCGGAGAGGCCCGCGTGGCAGAATTTCATGAACATGTTGGAACACCGGTGGTTTTCTTGAGAATCCGCATGCGCGCGAGCGCAGGATTCTCTCCCCCAAAAAGCCTCATTTTGCAAAACCCAATGTGTTGTAGATGTTTTCGGGGCGCTTGACTTTGCACTCCTGACGGCGCCGAAGGTTTTTGTCCATGGATTTCGGAGTGCGCGCGCGGCGACGCGCGCGCGTGTACTTCGTTCTATATGTTGCAATGGGTTCTTGTGACAGCACGCGCGCCAAAGGCGTTCGAATAATTTCGGTACGCGCGCGCGACAGGCCAAGTTTGGAAGCATGTTACGCAACACATTGAAAACCTATGGTCTTCCAAACAAATTCGCAAGAGCGCGGGCGCCATTTTTTGTTTTTTTTTTGGGGGGGGGGGGGAGCGAATTGCTGTTAGCGAGAAAAGCCACACACACAGACACAGACACAGACATAGACACACAGATACACAGACACACATACAAATAGACACACAGACATACAGAGACACAGAGACACAGAGACACAGAAACACAGAGACACAGAGACACAGAGACACAGAGACACAGAGACACAGAGACACAGAGACACAGAGGCACAGAGACACAGAGACACAGAGACATAGAGACACAGAGACACACACACAGACACACATACATACAGACACACAGACACACACACAGACACACACACACACAGCACAACACAGCACAGCACAACACAACACAACACAACACATCACAACACAACAAAACACGATACAACACAACACAACACAACACAACATACCACACCACACCACACCACACCACACCACACCACAACACAACACAACACAACACAACACAACACAAAACAAAGCACAGCACAGCACACCACAACACGCACACACACACACACACGCACGCACGCAGACGCACACACACACATACGTGTGTGTGTGTATATATATATATTCATACACACTAGAACCATCGCGCGCGCTTCGCGCACGCTCAAGTTCTAGCTAGCTTGAAGGATAGCGCGTAGCGGAGGGGAGAAGAGAGGTCGTCTTGGGGTATCTTGGAGCCTCTTTTGGGCTTCTTGGGGGCCTCTTGGGGCCTCTTGGGGGCCTCTTGGGAGCTTCCTGGGGGCCTCTTGGGGCCTCTTGGGGGCATCTTGGGGCGGAGAGCTTGATTTTTCAGTTCGCGTTCCCTCTCTTGGGCCCCTCTTGGGGCCTTTTTGGGGACCGTCTGGCGCCGTCTTGGGCGGCTCTGGGGCCATCTCGGGGCTCTCTTGGGCCGTCACGGGGCCCTCTTGGGTGCCTCTTGGGCCGTCTTGGAGCGGTTTGGGGAGCCTGTTGGGCGGTGCTTTAGCGCCAGAAGCGCGAAAAAACGAGAATGCAAAAAACATTGGGACAACAACCGATGAAAATCAACGATTTTGCCTCCTCGGGGCGCTCCTGGGCGGCATCTTAAAGGCCTCTTGGGGCGTTTTGGGGGCCTCCGGGGCAATTTTACAACGCATCGTGCGTCGCCAGAGACCCCTGGACGGCGTCTTGGGAGTGTCTCGAGACCGTCTGGGGCTGTCGGGATTACTGTCTGAGGGCTCCCTGGGGCGATTTTAAGCCTCCCAGAAGCGGGCGCGGGCCCCGGCACCCACATTTGCGGTCGAGATTCCGGCCCTCGGCCCCCGAGCCCTGTGCGCCGTGTGTTATATATATATATATATATATATATATATATATATATATATATGTATGTATGTATGTATGTATGTATGTATGTATGTATGTATGTATGTATGTATGTATGTGTGTATATATATACATACATCGGCATGCGCGCGTAACGACGCGAGCGTGTGCACTTCGTCCCGTTTATTGCAAGGCATTCTTGTACACCAGCGATTTTTGATAAACGAAAGCGTGCGCATACTAGTTTTTGCAAAGGGCCTGGCTGGGATGGTGTGAGTTCATATGTAGGATGGACGAGGGGTCAACCTCATGAATGAATTCACGAACTAAACCAACAACCGATAAGTCCAGGGGGGATGGTGGTATACTCGAATTTCTTAAGAGGAAAAAGAAAATACCCGGCTGCAATTAAAGTTGTTAAATCCATTTCTCGCGCAATCTTCCCACCCAACCACCCGCAGCTAGGATATTTTCCCAAACCAAAATTTATTTTGGGTAGCGGC